CTCAGCTTTGCATTAGAAGCGTCTTGCATATCCTTCTTATATAGTTTAAAGATCTGTACTGTTTAAATTTTAAATCATGCCAGTTTCAAATTCTGTGTGCACCACACATCTAATAAAGGCAGTTTCTAAGAAATATCAGAGTATTATTCTCTGATTACAAGATTCTATTTAGTTCCTTTACATGCCCTGCATGTAATCGGTAAAGAATATCAAGCATAAAAAAATGATCTATTAATTTCAAGCCTAATATGCATTTTTAAGCAAATAGGAATTGAATTGGATTCTTCAACTGATTTTTTTTTCCTCAATACAAACATTCCTGTGTTCTGTGCATTTTGCCAGTATGTAAGCAAAAGTGAAAGATAAGAAAGCATAATCTTCTTCTAGCCAGGACTTGATCATTGCCCTAAAATTTATTTATACTGGTTTCACCTCAGACTTATCAGTTTTCAGCTTTAACCAATGGCACTAAGTTATTGTTGGAGTGTCCTCGGCATCTGTTTAAAAACCTGCTCTCCTCAGCATCTGATTTGGTCCCTGTCCCCGTCCCCCCCGCCTTGAACCTTTAAAAGTGACAGTAGTCCTCACTTGTGGAATTAACTCCTCAGTACTGTGGAGGGAAAAGGAGCTGTTATCAGAGTGAGACATAAAAATAATTTTACTGTTCTCTATTGAATTAAGTTATGAAAATGAATATTTTACTTCTGACTTCTTCAGATCTTGCTCAGTCTTTTTCTGGGAGAAAATATTATATGGCTGAAACAGTTACTACATACCTGCAGCAGCAACTTGTCTAGAATTACAATGATAGCTTTTTAAAACAATTTTACTGAGCTGACCTAGTAGGTTTTTCAGGTTTGTTTGGTCTGGTTTTTTTTGTCCTAGGGGAACTTTCTGTACTGTGTATTTACTATGTGTCTAGATTGGTTTCATTTATGTAAATTATGGTGTCTTAATCCTTAAACACTTGCAGAGAAAATTGTGTAAAGATGACAGATTAGAAGTATGTCTAACACCCACCTGACTTACAATGATTTGTATTAATAAAATTTAATTATTTTAATGAATTATTGCCAAAATAGTGTTTCATTTTAGATTAAATCTAAAAATCATAACAAATACTTCTATTTAGTAGAGAACTTGTTGGTTTCTATAGCAGCTATGTAGAAACCTTTTCTACAGAGCAGTTATCTTCTACATACGCAGTTTACCTGTTTTTCTCACCTGAGGCTTTCAATTTTGCCTTCTTCCTCTCAGCAACCCAGGCCAGAAAGAGGGTGGCAGAACCCATGACCTACTATTAAAATGTGAATGTTTTCATTATAGCATAAAAGTCCTTCCTTAGGCTGTGACTAGAAAGCTTCTAGTTGTGTAAAAACAGTTTGTTATTTTCTTCCCAGTGTTATATGGATGAGAAGGGACTATGATGAAGATTATAAGTACAAGCTGTTTCCATTTCTATTAAGTAGAATAAGCCACCTAAAGCTTACTGAAGATAGAAAATATAAAATCTGGTGCAATAAACAAAATTAATATTACTAACTGTTCATAGTATTTGGTGTGCTGATAAAATATCTGTCTTTCTTTAGATTTTTGAGCAAGTATTAAGTGAGCTGGAGCCTCTGTGTCTTGCAGAACAGGACTTCATTAGTAAATTTTTCAAACTCCAGCAACATCAGAGCATCTCGGGAACAACAACGGTATGACTCTTAATTCTGTGACTGAAGTAAAAATATTGAACAGGCCTCATAAGAAACATGTTTAGAAGATTTTATGTGGCAATTATGTGTCCAGGTGATCAATAATTCGTTTTTCTCCATTAGCTGTCAGAATCTTTATTTTTGGCTTACCAATACAAAATCTATTTAAGGACTGATGTTTCTTTTGCCATGGCTTTGTTTCCTCATAAAATCATATTAAATACTTCATCATGCTATGTAGGAACACAATGGCGAGTAATTGTGGATAGTGTTGTATTCTGGGGAACATGACCAGAAAAATACCAGAAACTTGCAAACCACTATATTTGCTACTTTGGAATTAAAAAAAGAAAAAAAAAAAAGAAAAAAAAGCAAGAAAAAAAAGCTGGTAAATAGGTTGGGTTTGTCAGATATACTTATCACCTAAATATAGAATTGAAGACAAGTTTTTCAGCTTCCTGTATATTCCTGTATATGCGTTCCTTGTTCTTACAGAATGAAGCAGAGGAAATGGATGGAGGAACTCTGTCTCGTTCATACACTTCTGGTGTTCCACAAACAGTATCATCTGAGTATGTGTTGCTGCTGTTTGTTACTGATTCTTAAGCCTACATGTGAATTTATTTGGCATATAAAACTTTTTTCTCTATAATCAGAAATTGTTCCCTTTTCGTGAAAATTAATAGCGAACTCTTAATTTGTACCTAGACACCGAATGTGTCAGTAAATATAAACATTTTTGTATATAGGGTGGATTTTTCTGTCTATAGTAGCATTAAAAAAGATACTTAATTCTCTAATAGTTTGCAGAGTGAAACTAGGCACTGTAATATGTAAAATATGCTTTGGAAAATATGCTTAGCAAAGTTCTGAGTTTGAGTGTGTGGCAGCTTCCACACAGAAAATATATTTTTTTAATATTTTATACATGTCTCTCTTGATTTTTACTGTATGGCATTGCCATTTCTTCCCTTAGAAACATTCTGAAAATCATGAGACTTGTTGAATGCAAATGAGATTACTATATCCAATAAATTTATCCTAAAAATGTTATCAAAGATGTACAATAGCCTATTAAACTGTCAGAGTAATATTTTTATCTTACGCATTTTTAATAGGAAGGACATGATCCGACAAATGATGACAAAAATATTTCGTTGTATTGAACCTGAGCTGAATAACCTTATAGCGCTGGGGGACAAGATTGATAGTTTTAATTCCCTTTATATGTTAGTTAAGATGAGTCATCATGTATGGACAGCACAAAACGTGGACCCGGCTTCCTTTCTCAGCACAACACTTGGAAATGTTTTGGTGACTGTCAAAAGGAACTTTGATAAATGCATTGTAAGTTCTTTAGTTATTCTGATTATGCTAACTATAATATAGGAAACCTACTCCTATCCAGTTTGATTTTGTGTGTCTTTATAGATAAATTTTTGCTTTCAGTTTTGCTCTTCCACTGGACAGACCTTCAAAAAAGATAAACTAATTGGTAGTTGTGTTTCTTTTTCCTCTCCATTCCAGTTTTCTTCAATAATTAGCTATTTGTAACAAATGTGATCACTCATTCAGTGCTGTGAGCTAGCTGCTGTTTTTAGTTAATTGTTTAAACTTGTACTCTTACTGAGATGACTGAAGTCAGTCAAGTAAACTATTGCTCTCTGCCTTTTCTGCTTACCAAAACAAAACCTCATGGATTTACAAAGGTTTTGCTTTTCCCCTTTGAGCCTAGGATGCCAAACAGACATCTCTTCCATGTGTTCAGTTATTTCTATCTTGTATCTAACAAAAACTTGATTTAGATAAAATGGCAAATCATTTGGCAGTAGCAGAGGCAGCTTCTACTGTCAGAAGCTTCCTTTTTCTAATACAATATGACCATTATATGAAATACAGCAAGTTTAGTGAAAAAATAGTTGCTGGTCTAACTTTTTTTTTATTGTCATAAATGTAATTTGGCTCTAGGCCAACATAGTAAGACTGACCATTCTTGATCAGCTTAATGCTTACATTATATTATACTCACAAATAAAATTTCAGTAGAAGATTAAAGAAACCTCTGGTAGCAAAAGGAATTGGTAGTCTGGCTGAATCAGAAAAGCAAAGTTCCTTGTTACATTACGGAATGAAAATTGTTAATTGCTTCTAGCGTTTAGTATTTTTTTTTTCTTAATACTAAGTAAGTAAACAAGGGAGAGTTAAAGCTGGAAGATTTTACTTGCCCATCTTCCTTTTTTTATTTCCAATTATTTTATTTCTTGAAAAATTTTTGAAAGTAAAAAGGGAGGAGGACTAATATATACTATATATAAATGAAAGATAAAATTATTTCCATGATTGAATAAATGTCAATTTTTCAGTATGTTTTCATTTTTCTTTTCTTTTACTAGTTGTTACATGGTCTGGAGTCATATCTTAGAGGCTAACTTCTGTTTTTGTTTTAAATTATAAGAGTAATCAAATGAAGCAGATGGATGAAGTAAAAATCTCAAAGAAGAGTAAAGTTGGGATCCTTCCATTTGTTGCTGAATTTGAGGAGTTTGCAGCCCTCGCTGAATCAATTTTCAAAAATGCAGAACGACGAGGAGACCTAGATAAAGCCTACATAAAACTTATTAGAGCTGTTTTTATCAGTGGTAGGTCTTCCAAGGTTGTCATAGTTACTAAAATGATTGTTTCTTCCCATTTATATATAATTTTGCTCCAATGAACAGATAATTTTTTTAAGACTATCACAAGCTGTGTGTCAGCTACTGTGCTGAAATTTTGGTTCTCTCTCTTACCAGTAGGACAGCGAGTGTAAACCTTTTGACTGTAACATAGTTTTAAAGAGCAAACGGTAGCCGTTTCCCTTTGTACATACCTGTAAACTAACTTTCAGTTATGACAGGGGGAAGTGGTTAAGGCTCTGGAGG